GGCGGGAAGGTGGGAGGCGCGGGGTCCCCCTGCTCCGGGCTGCCCCGCGCGCAGCTCGGGGAGGAGTCCAAACCCTGAAGACCAGGGCCGCGGCTTCTCAACTAGAAATCCCTGTCTCTGCGGTTTGAGAAAAGCCCAGAGTTGGAGAGAACACAAAGCCCGCCCAACTTTCCAGGGGTTACCCCCACCCCTAAAGTCGGGAGATGGCTGGTAACAAAAGGACTAGTGTTTCCCCGGCCCCTAATAACCTTTATGTAATCGAAGGTGGTTTTCTCCGAGGCAGACAACTGGGCTATTGAGACTGGAAAGGGGCGGAGGAATAGAAGCTCCAGCTCCTGCCAGCCCAGGGTTGTAGCGACTGAGAAACGTTGCTTTCACCGGTTCTCTTCCAGGGCGAGATGATAAGACAAGTGTAGTCAGTTTATAGCTACAAAGGTTAGTTTGAGTTTCAAACTCAGGCACCTGAGAGTTCCACGTTGAAAAAAATAAATAAAATTAAAAAGGCCAAAGGTCTCGTAGCGGATGCATGTGTCACGCATGCTGAGCCACTCACTGAGTTCCAATTAGCCACCCGGCCCAAGAACTTCGCTTCTTTCCTTTTGTCATATCAATTGTGCATTATCTTCATGATAGGTCAGTAAGCGTTTTTAATGATATTCCCCAAATGCCTGGCATCTGAGTTAGGTGGGTATACTAATTGTCTATTGCTGAGTTACAAAATAACCCAAATCTGAGACGCTGAAAACAACAGTTTCTGGCTCAAGGTCTCTCTTGAGATTACTGTTAGCTGGGACTTGCAGGCACCTCAAGACTGGGCTGGGACTGAAGGGACCCCTTTCTCTGTCACTCACTAGCTGTTTTCAGGGTTCAGTTCCTTGCAGGCCCCGGGTCTCTGCCTCGGTTTCTTGCTGCATCATGGTGGTCCTCTCACAAGTCATCCAAGAAAACGCTCAGGTCCAAGAAGGAAGTCAGTTGTATAAACTAGGGATTTTTCAACCTTTTTCTTCCAGAGGCAACATTAATGAAACGCTCAGGTCCAAGAAGGAAGTCAGTTGTATTAACCAGCGATTTTCAACCTTTTTCTTCTGGGTGCACACATAAACGAATGACTAAAATTCTGTAGCACACCAAAAAATATCTTTTGTCGATTTGACACACACACACACAAAAACAGGTATAATTTTGATTCATTCACACTGGACTGCTATTGTGGTGTTGGCTGTTGTTATTTTTTTATTTGGCAAACTAAAGGAAAAGAGGTCATTGCCCCTGGCTACATAGTTACATATTGTATGTTTTAAAAATTATTGCGGCCCACTGGTTGAAAATCACTGGTATAAACTAACACCA